TTGGGTGAGGGGCCGGTCCCGGGTTACACAGTGAGGGTGGGGCAGGGGTCGCCCCTGTGCTTCCCTCGCTGGGTTGTCTGAGGCCCCTTGTTTCTGTACCACCAGGTTATGTGTTGAGCAACAAGGCGACCAAGGATGAGCATAAAAATAAGGACAAGAAGCATGAGGACAAGAACGAGGATGACAACGAGGAGGAGAAACATGGAGAGGACAAAGACATTGATGACAAGGAGGAGGAGCCTGGAGAGATAGACAAGGGCCTCGAGGGCAAGGAGGAGGAGCCTGGAGAGGCGGCCAAGGGCCTCCAGGACACGGAGGAGGAGCAGCCTGGAGAGGCGGCCAAGGGCCTCGAGGGCAAGGAGGAGCAGCCTGGAGAGGCGGCCAAGGGCCTCGAGGACACAGAGGAGCAGCCTGGAGAGGCGGCCAAGGGCCTCGAGGGCAAGGAGGAGCAGCCTGGAGAGGTGGCCAAGGGCCTCGAGGGCAAGGAGGAGCAGCCTGGAGAGGTGGCCAAGGGCCTCGAGGGCAAGGAGGAGGAGCCTGGAGAGGCGGCCAAGGGCCTCGAGGGCAAGGAGGAGCAGCCTGGAGAGGTGGCCAAGGGCCTCCAGGGCAAGGAGGAGGAGCCTGGAGAGGTGGCCAAGGGCCTCGAGGGCAAGGAGGAGCAGCCTGGAGAGGCGGCCAAGGGCCTCGAGGGCAAGGAGGAGCAGCCTGGAGAGGCGGCCAAGGGCCTCGAGGGCAAGGAGGAGCAGCCTGGAGAGGCGGCCAAGGGCCTCGAGGACACGGAGGAGCAGCCTGGAGAGGCAGCCAAGGGCCTCGAGGGCACGGACACGGAGGAGCAGCCTGGAGAGGCGGCCAAGGGCCTCGAGGACACGGAGGAGCAGCCTGGAGAGGCGGCCAAGGGCCTCGAGGACACGGAGGAGCAGCCTGGAGAGGCGGCCAAGGGCCTCGAGGGCAAGGAGGAGCAGCCTGGAGAGGCGGCCAAGGGCCTCGAGGACACGGAGGAGGAGCCTGGAGAGGCGGCCAAGGGCCTCGAGGACACGGAGGAGGAGCCTGGAGAGGCGGCCAAGGGCCTCGAGGACACGGAGGAGCAGCCTGGAGAGGCGGCCAAGGGCCCCGAGGACACGGAGGAGGAACATGGAGAGGAAGACAAGGATGTGGATGACAACAAGGAGGAGGAACATGGAGAGGAAGACAAGGACCAGGGTGAGGAGCCTCCTCAGTCTAGGCTGATCAACCCAGAGAACCTGGACTGCAAAGAGGCCATGGTGAGCCAGACCCCCTGCCTTTCTCTGTGGCCCCCTGGACACCCTGATCCTCTTGGCTTCTCTGTCCTCTGATTTCTCTCAACCCCAACCCCCTTCCCACTGCCCAGGTCAGACACTGCTGCACCTGTGAGCAACAGGTGCCCCCAGGAGGCCCGAGGGAGGGACTCCTCTATCTCCCTGGTCATTGTCCATCCTGTGGGTTCCCCCTACAAATATGCATCCCTGTTGCCTGCAGGCGGCCTCCTTGACTGTGGCACTAACTGGTACTAACAAGGAGCAGACACGGCTGTTGTGGGAGCCAGAGGAGCTGAGAGAGTGCTGTCCATGCCTGGCCCCACTGGCAGCCCCGGCCCAGAAAGCGCCGGGGGAGGTGGCCCCAGGCCCTGGGACCAGGGGCGCCATGGAGACGATGGAGGTGAGGGAGTCTTTTCTGTCAGGCCCAAGTAGGTTGGGGTGGCAGGTTGCTGCTGACCCCTGACTCTGGGTTCTGGCTCCAGAGGTGCTTCCTAGAAGTCTTGGAGGAGGAAACAGCAGATGTAAAGGAGCGAGTGGAAGAGCTGGAGCCTGGCTGCATCCAGCTGCCAGGGAAGGTCAACAAGAATGGTGAGCTGGGATGTAAGGCCATGGCAGGGAGCTGCCCCGGGGGTGGAGGGGCCTCAGTCCCTTACCCATAGGCAAGCACATCGCCCTGTACCAGAACCAGAGGGCGGTGCTTTCTCTCTGCAGAGTTCTGTGTGATCAACCTCAGTGTCGATGAGGAGCCTGCGCAAGGAGCGATGGGGGAGGGCTCTCCCCTCGAGAACCTGGCCAAATGCCAGGTCATTGAGATGCCGCCTGAGACCCAGAAGTACCCAGGCTTGGACAGCAACCCACGCTTCCCCTTTCTCTCCTGGGCTAGAAAGATTGTCAAGGGGATCATGGCCATCTAGAGCCCAGAGAAGTGGGCCCGGGGGCTCTGCCCCCACCCTGTTTGCTCCCTCCCACCCTGCCCCTGCCACCTTGTCCCTGCCCCTCCTTCCCTGCCATACCTCCCCCCTCACCCCTTTATCTCTAAAATAGTAAGATAAGACCCCCCTGCCGGTCAGGGAGGCAAACTGGTGCAGAACCTTTGCCATCTTGATGAGGGCTCAATCTTAATTCCTTCCAGAAAAACAAAGAACCAGAGGCTCACAAACGTAGCTTCTTTGGAGGCTGCCCCTCAGGAGTAGCAGGGACTCCCTGGTGGCCTCACCCCACCAAGCAGGCCTTCTTTCAGATGGCTCCCTCCTCTTACTGAGAGACACTTGGGGCACGACAATGGGGTGGCATTCCCCCCAGGTGGACAGTTGGGCTAACTGTCGGCCAGCCAAGAGCACAGGTTGCTGGATTGGCCTCCCCTCTTCCTGGGAACATATTGTATTTGTGTAACATTTTGTATATTCTGGGGGCTGAACCACCACCTGCATAATAGCAGCAGTTGGAGCTGGCAAATGAGAAGATTCTAATATTTGGAGCTGGGAAACTTATTTATTGCTAGCACATGGCAGAGAAAGGAGGCAGGGATGGGGTTGTGGCACCCTGGTGACGTGGCTCCGGTTTATTCTTTTTATTTCAAAATAAAATGAATGGATTTATCCTTACTGATCAGCCTTGTGCCCCTGTTTCCAGCACTTAGTCCAGGGTTTGCCCCACTGAACGGGGGAACCAGTGCCAGCAGAGGGCAGGTTTCTGGACTGCTGGGAGTCTGAGAGTGTCTGAGTGTGCCCAACGGGGCAGTTAGGGACCTTCCAGACCTGTTGCTGTGTACTGCTTGGTGTTGCCTGGGGGATTCCAAGGGAACTGCCAGGGGGGGTGGTGCTGTGGGGGTCAGTCCCGCTCTGACAACCTCGATGGGAGGGAATGCAGGGTGCCAATGCCCAAGAGTGCCCACTCCCAGCCCAGGTGTCCTGCTCCATCTCCCTGTCTGTCTCTCCAGTGTCGGTCCCAGCCGGCATTCTCCATCAGGGCTGAACTCGAGCCCCTGCCCTCTAGTGGCCAGAGCAAGGGTCACAGGATGAGAGTGAGGTTCGCAGCCCAAGGGCGTCCAAGCGGGATGTGGCCTTCCACCACTCCTGACATTGCCCTAGCAATGGCTGGGCCTATCCCCACCCTGGCCCCCACTGCCGAGTACCATAAGCACATAGCCAACACAGACACGTTCCCTGTCATCCAGAAGTGGGTTTTATTTTCAGCCAAGAGACAGCAAGACCGGTAGCATCAGGCCACACAGCTGCCTGTACAGCACCCCCATGCTTCGAAGGTGAGGGTCGGGCAGAAGACAGGGGGCTGGCTGTCCACAGGCAGGCATGACAGGGAGACTCACTGGAGGTGGCACACTTTGGATGGAGAATGTCAGGGGAACAGCGTTCTCTTGTAGTTGGGCCACAAGACTACACAAGACAGCACAGTGACCGATCTCAGCACAGAGGCGAGGTGGTGTCGGCCACATATATGTGTGTATGTATGTGTGTGTGTGTGCGTGCGTGCGTGCGTGTGTGTGTGTATATACGAGTATTTATAGATATTTATAGAACAGGGCAGGGGCAATTCCACAGGGGGGCACAAGTTTGCACCAACATCACATCTGGTTGTGTCAGCTCACCACTACAATGGACTAAGTCACAGATGGAGGGGGTGGCTTTGGGGCTAAGGGAGCCACTGTCAAGTCACAGAACAGTCATCCAGGCAGGCTTGGAAAGGGAGGTCTCCGAGGAAGAGGAGGGATCTGGTTAGAGGTCGAAGGGGGGCCTGGGACTCTCAGGACGGGATGGACTTGCCTGACCCGATCGGCTGGCAGTTGGAGATAAAGCAGAGAGAAAACAGGAGACAGAAAAGCAAGGAGAGAGCTGGTAAGGCAGGGGCAGCCACCCAGCCTGGCAGGGTCAGGGGAGGGGAGGGGAGATGCAGGTGTGGGTGCAGCAAGGCTCCTGGAAAAAAGGGGCCCGATGGGAAAGGGGAGGAAGATGAAGGGAGGAGCGGGAGCCGGTGCCGGAATGTCATGGGTAGTCCAGGTGGAGGCTGCAGTGGCCCTTCCCCCCACCATGCATGCGGGCCTCTCACACGGCACCCAGGCAGTTCCAGACACATGTTCAGCCCCCTTGGGCTTCCCTCTTCTCTGGTCACCTTGTCTTCCAACATGCTGGCCCATCACCCCTAGCCTCGGAGAGCCCTACGGGACAGCTCCCAGGCCTAATGGAGAAAGAACACTGCTTGAACCAGGAGAGTGGAGCTACAGGATGGCTGGAGGGAGCACCGGAGGCTCCTCTGGGTGGTCAGAAAGCCCAGGAGCCCTCTGAAGGGACCCTGGGGAGGCAGGGAGGGCAGGCAGCCGGATGCCAGTGGCCACAGGTTTATAAGTCTAAGAGGGGAACCTCAGCTGGTCGGGGAGCTGCAGGTCGCGTAGGTGAGGCTGGGCCCTTCCTGCTGGGAAAGCAGAAGAGTGAGAGTCAGCGGCAGAAGAGTGGCGGCAGACGCTGCCGTCCCCTTGGCTAAGTCGGAGGTGACCCCTAGGAGCAATGGGTCAAGGTGTGTGAACCCACGTGCTAGCTACGATGCTTCAACTGGGACCAAGGGCTTGGCCTTCAGTGGTACACTAGCAGGTGTAATGACACTGTGGAGGTAGGGAAGGGGGATGTGTGTCCCCGCCTGTCCTGTGAGGTGTGTCCTGGGCACAGTGTGTACAGGGCTCCCAGGCATTCAGAAATCCTCCAACAACCAGAGCTTACACCCTAGATCACAGCTCGAGTGCCAGCCTGATGGAGGAGGCAGGACCCTGACGGGCACCCCTGCTCTGTGGTGACTTCAGCTTCCTGAGGGCCCAGGCTGGGAGCTGGCTGCTCTGCCCCAGCACCCTGGTTCAGACTGGGCAATGCATACAGAATGCACAGAATGAAGTTCAAAGGCTCCCGGAGCCTCAGTGTCCAGCCCCACACACAACCCCCTCCTGTCCTCTCCGGCAATTCCAGAGAGCACCTTCGTCTGCCAGTGTGGCTACGGAGCCTGTCCCAAGAGCCCCAGGCTCACCACGGAGGCCTTGGGCAGCGGCACTGAGTCCCAAGGCTGGCTGGGAGAGGAGGAGAGAGCCAGCTGGCACAGGACAGACAGAGGAGAGAGGAGGTCTGGAGCTCAGGAGGGCGGGGCAGGGAGCCTGGCTCTGCGGCCCCAGGTGTGCCCCCTAGTGAGGAGCTGGTGCAGCGGGGCAGACACACGGTTCATGCAGCAGGCGGAGAGGCAAGTACCTACCGTGGCTGACGCTCCTCAGGGGTCACTGATAGTGATTCTGAAAGACAGCACGAAATCAACATGGCAGTTCACACGCACGCTTGAGGGTGGGCCTGGGGGTGGGGGCACGCACACGCACACGCCCGGGCGTGCACACACATGCTGTGAGGCCCCACGGGCCTGCATGCACACGCTAACACACATGCCCACAAACAACACGCATACACCGCCCTCCCCGCCACCGCCCGGTGCCCGGCACCCTCACTGGCTGGCGCGTGCAGCACGGATCTGGGGCATGCAGCCACTCGGCACACGGAAGCACACGCGTGGGCTGAGTCACAACACAGAAGCTCGCCCGCACATAGAGGCATTTGCACCAGCTCCCTGCATGCTGGTGCCTGGCGTGCTCGGACCACCCGTGCCGCTTCTTGCTTTCTAGGGTCTGGCGGCCATTTCTCCACCATCGAGCCTTCCATGGCTCCCTGCCACCTGAGGTCCAACAAGTCACACTCTCCTTTGGACTTTGAAGGTTCCCCAGTCTGCCCTCAACCCTGCCATATCTTCTGCCTTCCAGCTGAGCCAGCGGCTCCCTCTGCATCTGCCCTCCTGATGCCTCCTGCCTGAGCACAGGCCACACTGAAGTCAGGCCGCCTTGAAGAAGCTCCTCCAGACTGCTCTCTTCCCCAAGGCAGGGCATGGCTTGCCAAATATTCCGTGTGTGTTGGTAAGACTGGAGTCGGGACAGGTGTCAAGTATGACAGTTGCCATATGTCACACCTCACCTGAGCATGTCAAACACCCTTCAGAGTCTGGACTCACGAGGGCAGTGAACAAAGCACTCCTATAGCCACATATGCAGTTAACATTGCATCTCTGTAGCCACTGTCTCCCTTGATCCCCACACCAACCCTGGGGAAAAGGCAGAATGTCATCACTTGGTAGGAGGGAAACTGAGGCTCTGGGAGGGAAAGTAACAGCCTAAAGGCACAGGGCGAACCAGCATCTCTGGACTCTCAGTCTAGTGTTCTTGCTGGATACCATGCTGCCTGCCTCTTCCAATCGGCTCCAGTCATCCGACTGTCCTAAGCAAAGCCCTTTCCCGCTTCATTTTGGTTTAAGGATGCTAGACCCACAGCCCTACCCTCCAGCCATCTGGAAACAAAAAGATGCTATTGTTCTGATGTGTTCTTCCTCAGAAAATGTGACCAGTGGACACAGGGCAGACTAAGATACAGGCATGAAACTCCTTGAAAGAAGGCCATGGACCAAGAAGGCAAAGCCAAAGGATGAAGTAGAATCCTTTTCCCTAGAAATCTCTGGGAATGGGGCAGCCTGCACCCTCCCCTGTCCCTGCTGCCTCGCCCACCATGTTGGCCCAACCAGGCAGGGCCAGAGGCAGGGAAGAGGAAAAAAGCTATCGGATTGCCCATGACTTCCAGATCCCTCCCCCACCGGGTCCCTGCCCCAGGCCTGGGTGCCATTCTTACACTCACGCCTGTGTGCACGCCCACACACACATCACACAGCATCTGGTCACACAGGCACAGCCTGGGCTCTGCTCCTGCGGGCCAGAGGCCACACACTCCTGGGGACAGCTCAAAAGAGGACTGGGAAGTGGGGGCCTCAGGGCAGCCCTGAGCCCAACTGAAGGAAACCCACACCTTCAGAGAGATCCAGACACTCCCGCCTGAGGTAGGCTCCCCAGGGGCCAGGAGAGGGGTTGAGGACGGAGTGGAGAAAGGAGGAGTACGAGAAGGAGAAAGGAGCGCAATGGATGGGCGGGGGCCGAGAGCGGAAAAAGAGGGCAGCGCCATGCAAGTGCTGGAAAGAAGAGGGCAGGTGGGATGAGCCCCACAGCCCGCTCCCAGAAACGACCACCTCCGGGACTCAGCGCTCCCTGGGGCGCAGGCTCCACCAGCCCTCGGCCACACCAACGTGGCCCCGGCACCCGCTGGTCGAGCGCCTGGGATGAACCGGGCCGGTTCGAGTCGCCAGCTCCGAGG